TAAGAAAAAGTGGATGGTGTATCTAGAAAGAAGGCAGTTGTTGGTGGGAGGATATAAATGCGGGAAGAGATGTCTAGTTAGTTTGTAATTTACAATGGCAAGCGTCCGGTGTAAGCGTAATTGCCCACCTTTTGTGTTTCTTTGCAATACTACGGAATTGCTGTTGCAAACTCTTAAAATTTGTCAAATTAGGACCTGGGCCGTAAAGTATTACCAATCGCTTGGCATTGTGTAGAAGTGCGTGGCAGCCTGGGCAGTGGTGTGAAGAGCTGTCAAGTGTACGGCCTCGATATTCCACCAGCCTTCATTTTCATGCCTGATTTTCGTGCATCCTTCAACCCTGCACCCTCGTTTAATTCTCTTGAACTGCCGAAACCAAGCATAAGGGTACTCAAAGTGTACTGTTAATCACCAATGTAAGCAGTCATTTAAATTGCGCAGTTTTCCACACCGTATCTTAGGCACTCACTGCCAGCCATTTGGCCAGCCATCACGTGCTCACACACTACCCCCTGATTTACTCATGCGTGTCGGCAAATACAAACATCAGTGTGGACGTCTTGTCCACTAATTACTCCTGTTGGCGTCTCGACCACAGACACGCTCAAACACGCACACCAGCCGTTCAAAACAAAGGTGAAGTGCACTGACACGAATAAAACGTGCACGGACTGCTACAAGTGTAAAAAGGGCAGATCTGCAGAAATCCTACCAACATAATCTACTTCTATCTGTAAAATGATCTAATCAACAACTGTTTTTGTGTCTGCACGATTGAAGCTTCCAATTTGACTCAACAGCCTCTCGCAAAATTTACTCGCTACTTAATCGAGTAATCAGTAGCACGCACCCTGGTATATATGAATCGCAAATAAGGCCATTAGCGAAATAAATCAAAGGATGAAAAACCTTCTCCACTTGTCTTAATACGTAAGGCCTTATTTCACAAACACTCCAACTGACATAGCACAAAAGCAACACCTGTTTTGAGAAACCAAAAATCAGTGGACATCAATTGGCGCTATTGCAGAAGTAGAGGAAAGGGGAGGTAGGGATGGGGAGAGGGTGGGGCAAAGGGGTGACACAATCGAAGG